AATAAGTTCAACACGTTTACTAGGAATTTCTCTGATAGATTCGATGTGAAGCCTTGCTACTTTAGGTCACTATCAACATAACATCAAGGCCATTTCATAGAAACAAACATGTTGCGGGAAAGGAAGAACACATAAAAAAAAAAGGAGTCCATTGTAATCAAAAAAGGGGCTTTGTGTCCCCAAGCATACAAAACAGTTAATTCTGTACAAAAAACAGAGCTAAAGGTTACAAAACAAACTCGGGACATAGAAGTTGTAAGGCCAACAGAAGCTGACGACCCTCGGCTTATTCCTCCCCTGCTTCTCCCCCACCGAGGCCTCCACACCGTCTTTGCAATTCATCTCCAACCCCCCAATATCTCGTCTAGCTCAATGTCATGCACTCCAATAATGATTGGGGGCGAAGGAGGGGGAAGATCATCGGCTTGATCGAAGGGTTGCAAAGACGGAAGGGCAGGAGAAAATGGTCAGAACCATCGCTAAGTGTGATGGGTTCATTCCCGCCCTCGAACCTGACCGCCCCTTCGGCCTGAAACTTGCTCGTCAGGCTCAGCTTGGACTTGTTCCTTTACTTCATCAATCTCTCCTTAGAGACTATGCATTGCGAACAAATCTGAGTCGGGCTCCATGTGGCAGGCGCAAAGGGCGGCATCTCAACCTTCTTTGAAAGCCTTCTTTTTGGCTTCCTCGAAGGCAGGAACCATTTGGTTCTAAGTGGCCAGTCACACCCTTTGACATTCTGACTACAGTCTTTCCTACTCCCCTTCTTTCTCTGCGGTCAAGGATTCCACCTTGGCAGTAAGTTCGTTGATTACAAACTCCTACAGCTTGACCTAAGAGGAGGAGACTCGCAGCTCATACTCCTCGACTTTCTTTATCATCGCAGCTTCACCTGCCTTCGTCTTTTCCAGCTCGGCATGAACGACATCTTGCTGGCGAATGAGCTCGGCGATGTGTTTGGTCTGGTCGTCGAGGGTCCTCTCGACCTTGAGGATTTTGTCGTCCTTAGTAGCTAGGGCTCGCTCGGCATTCTTCCCCTCTTGTTTGTATTTCTAAAAGTGCTCAATTATGGCCCCCACCTGCTGGCTTGCCTGAAAAAGGAGGATTATTAGAGAATGACCAAAAGGGTGCAAGGAATACTCAGGAAAACGTTGGACTTACCACCAAGTTGTTTTGGATGGTGCTCATCAGAAGTCGATTGTTTGAATAACCTTTGTATATGGCCATATCGGTATCACATTGAATAGTCCTCGCGACGGTAAAGGCCACTTCGGAGGACTGGAGGATGGAGTCGATTTCCAGGATGGGGCGACCACTCTTGGTCTCGGCCTGAGGGACCCATTCGCCTGAGACAGACGGGCCCGGGGCGTCATGTCGCCGCTTCACATAGCACTCCTCAGATTGCTCGACATCCCGAGCCCGTCAGTGCCTCGGTCGATCCCCCGGAGCGGAGACTTGTTGAGATTGAGGCTTTTGCCTGGTTGACACGGCGGGGGTGGTTGATGCTGAGGAGAACTTGGTGGTGGAATTATTGGGACAGTGTTGGATGGCCCAACCAACCCGACGAGCTTGGCTCTCCTTACTACGGCGGCGGCCTCCATTGTAGCAACGATAACTGGTGGTGGATTAAACATTTCTTCAGGTGTGAGAGGCTCGGGAGCAGGATGATCAGACTCTGCTTCGGAATCTTCCTCGAATTCTTTCTCTGCCGATGAGGAATGATCTTCCCAAGGAGAAGGGTGGAAGGAAGGTGGGATCTGGGAGAATCGACTATAATTCGGCATGTAGCCGAGGAGAGTAAGCACCGCTCGCTCAACTGGGTCTAAGGACCAAACCCTTAGCAGGTCAGCAAATCGGACTTGGGACCTCAAGGGTTGAGCAGTGTCCTAGTGATATCCTTCTGTAAAAGCAAAACAAAATTAGTGCATCCCTCGGACCCAAGAATAGAAAAATCAATACAAGTCAGGAAGAAAACACACCTTCATCCCTCGACACTTTGAGGCAGTACAATCCATCATACTTGGGCCTTGTCCCTTTCTTCCAACTTCCGCCGAGCATGATCAGATTGTCTATATACCCCTTGTCTGAGTCAGGCATGTGGGTTATCAGATACATTAAGGTGTCTCGAGCCTAGAGGTAGTATCTCCCCCCGGCGACTAACCTCAGGTCGTAGCAGAATAAAATTTCATCTACTCCTAAGTTGGTCCCTAGTTGAGCATTTAGGGCAACTACGCCCATCACAATCCTAAAGAAGTTAACCCCACATTGAAGGGGGGAGAGCTTCAGTTACATCAACACTCCTAGCAACAAGGGATTGAGAGGGAAAGTCAGCCCTCCTTCCATGATGGCCTTCGTCCAGAAAGGCATCATGTCCACACTTCCCATATTCCTCCTATGGTGAATAGGGTTAAAGAGGAAGGCGATGACAGACTCATGAATGTGGTACCTAACCCTGAAAGCTTTGATGTTCTCATTAGTCACTTGGGTTCTCCTAGTCTTATGGGTAGCCCTAGCCCTAACGAATGTCTCCCCCCTAGTTCTACTAGTTCTGGCCATTGGTGGGCGTTAAAAAGAAAGAAACGTAGAGGAAATGAAGAAAGAAAAAGCTCTAGTGGAAGTACTTACAGGAAGGTGATCTTCGAAAAGGGAGCTCGGAGGACGAAGGAAACTCGGAGGAGAACAAAGGAGCGCTCGGGATCTAATGGCCAAAGAAAGTATGAGGGTGCAAAAGTTCTAAGGAGGCATAAATTCTTGTTATTTATGTTGCCTTATAGGGAGTGGAAATCGAAAAATTGGAAAATTATTAGGGTATTTGAAAAGGGCGGCGCCAGACATGCAAGTAACCGTCGCTATTAGTAAGGCGTGATGATTGAGCCTCCAATCTCTGTACGACACTTGTCTTACACTGCGAAAAGGATTGCGGCTGGGGGACAGTTGGCGGGACTCTAGGTGGCTCTACAGCCCCTAGGTTGACATGTGGAATAATGAAGCCGTTGGGACATCCAAAGGGCGCCGAGGAGGTAAGCCAAGGTATGGTGGCCCAGAGCAACCGAGTACGATTGTTAGCATCGTATTTAATACGACGTGACCTCTCATTTATGGCAGAATGAGTGATGGTGACAAGAGACAAATAAATGCGTGCTTGCAAGCACCTGTACTCTAGGAGTCTAGGCCTACTATCATGATGGCTAAACATTAATGGCTGATACACCGAGACAACGCGATCGCCCCCCCCCCCCTCAAGGAACTGTTCCCCCGAGTATTCAATGCTCAGTTGATGTCAGATGTCGATCTGAGGGGTTTGGGTACTCGGGGAAGGGTGTAAATGCTCGATATTTAGTCGAGCGTTCATCTTATCGTCCTAGCATTTAATAGGAGGAGACGTGAGTAGAAAACACTCATTGCGCGAGGAATGGTGTGTCAGATATTAGATGTCCAGATGGGACTGGAGACCTTTGACAATCATTGTTAATTCAGGTATAAATACTTCTCAGAAAAATGGATAAAGGTACGCAAACATGAACCAGAAAAAGATTGTTCATTGAGCTAAACGCTTCGACCTTAGACTGACTTAAGATTCGGAGGGGATAAACCGAGTGTTCACCTAACTCCCCTTTTTCTGACCCTGTTGTTTCAGGTCGCCAACTTGGAGATTGCTGTCTCAAACTATTGCAGGAATATCCCGTGCAATTATCACTTGAACTATCTCTTGAATTCGCCGTTCAATTTTGGGCATGCACCAAATCACATGCTACTGTCTAGTTCGATACATTATCTCGATGACTTAAAAAATGACGTTTCAAAATATTTTGAAAAAAAAAGGGAAACAAATAAAAAAAATTAAAATTTTATTTTCAAAAATTCTAGAATATTAATCAAAATATATCAAAAAAGTTTAAAGCACCTCAACATTCGGACACCATAGTATATACATGGTGAAACATTTTGAATCACTTAAAAACATTTAGAAATATTGAAAATTTTCAAAATTCCATCATTAGTTCATTTTAGTCTATTTAAAAATTAAAATATTTTAGCTATTTTGACTATTTTAAAAAAAAAAAAAAAAATTGATGTTCGTGCAAGGGTTGACGAAATGGCCCATGATTCCGGCCTGGATGCCTACCGGACAAATGAGCAGCCGGGCCTGTCAAATGGCAATTCGCAGATAGCCTTTCAGCCCATCGTACAGGATCATGGGTCATTGAGCTTAAATTATTCCTCGACTAGTTTTAAATTTTAACAATTTATTAAAATCAGATCACGAGAGATTTATATTTTATAAATACCTTAATTTTAGTATAAATAATTTATCTTTAACCAGACCTAAAATACACATAAACAAAACAAAAAAAAGAAAGGTTTCGCTCCAAAGATAATCTATAACACTCTGATATTTGACTCAGGTATGTCCAATTGGGTGCTGGCCAATGAGGCTCCAGGGGGCAAATAGCCTTCCAAGGAGTCGGGCATTCTTTCTTTTCCATTCTATCTCTCTCCCACAGCCCAACTACACATTCCCCTTCCTCTATAAATTATGATCTATCATCACCTTTAACTCCACCTTCCGAAAGATCCTACTATACAAGTAACTTCTTCATCTAAGCCATTTTCAGTAACAAAACAGTTTTGATAGAAAGTAATCCCTCTTCTGCTTCTAGCTAAGTACCTAGTTCAATTAGTTACTCAGACAACACACTTGAATAGTTCAGATCTTGCCTTTGCTGTACTGATGATCATTTATGGAATTAAATATATGAGAAAACATTGTTTCAAACAACAATAACCCACCAATTCCTAGATTACCGTAATTTTTTGAGTTTATTTCTCACTCTACCGTTGTTCATATAAGATCATGAGTTCAACGCACGCTTTCAGTGCAAAACCTCCAGCAGTGGGGGTTAAAAAACCACTATAAATGGAGAATAAGTTAGAAACCACTGTGTAGTTGGAAATAAGTATAAAAAAAGATTATAATTTAGGAAGAAAGTCTAGAGACAACATTGATCGTCAAATACTTTGTGCCAACAGAAATATCGAAAACAATTCTACTAGAATAACTGACATCCTTCATGGGAAAATGAATTCACCTGGAAAATGTATACCCATCATAATTCAACTTAATCAGCTTCTCCTATAACAGGAATTCCGCGGGTAAAATCAGCAGTGGAGCCATGGCAACAATGGACAAACAACACTGATGCTAACTAATAAAATTAAACTCAATTTGACAAGGGCGGCCCGCTACATTGACTTGACCACTCCTTATTCTCCTGAATCAAAAAGTTGAATGTATAATGAAGATTTGTGAAAGCTAAATCTCTTACAGCGAATATTTGCTACCTATGGCGCTTTTTTGGCTTTAGCCTCTTAAAAGCCATAAATGTTACTGCAGCCGATAAAGAATACCTGCAGGAAATAACACTGATATCAGCGAAAAGCAGCTTGAATTAAATCACACATAATTGAAACCCAAATTTGTAACTAGCTACTTGCACGAAAACTAGAGCAATAAGTTATAAATTGTCAAAAAAAAAAAGCATGATCAATCCAAATATACATTGACAAAAACTTCATACTAGGCTTAGCCCGAGCATCACCTATCAAAGCTGAACTATGATGAAGTGTTATTTAAGGTAGAGATGGTGATATAAGAGATGACATAATTCCACAAAACCCAGAAGAGGAATTGTCACAGTGATCTCTTCTCTGGGAAAAATTGCACATGCATCGAATGCACAGTGATGTTAATACCATGGCAACAACTAGAATTCAGATTCTTGAACAACATGAGAAGTTTTACTCAGCATGACAATATACATCTCTTCCAAGTCCATAAAGACAAAAAATACGTTTCTGCATTTTAGCAAAGTTGGATGCATGTCATGTAAGTGTTGAAAACATCAAGAAAGCTAGAAAAAAAATTGTAAGACCAAAAAGGGATAATAAGACATCCTACAAGGGCAACAACATTCATATAGAGGCCAATATATTGACCATTTTCCTTCCAAGTGTCTACCACTTCTTTTATTACATGATGCAGGGACAGTCCATGTGAAGTGGAAAGGGCACACTATGACACTAGTAAAGACCACAGACAAACTAAAACTTGATTGTATATCAGAAGATTTCCTGATATTCCCAAAATCTTGGCCAAATTGAAACAGCTTTGCATGAATCCTGTGCTAGAAATTTTTATTAGCCTTGGAAACCTAATTGACATAAAATATGATCAACACAAGCATACAAAGAGCAGAATCCAGTGAAATGAAATATGGAATTACTTGGCATAATTTGGAAGAGTACTCCCATTTCATCAATGGAGCAGTCATCAACAAAATACAAAGACAACCTGAGGTCATGCATTAAGCTAAAAATGGACTAATATCAATGAAGTATTGCTGGACAGGCCACTGCATGAATAAATTTCAGTAGTAAATAAGCCAACAATAAATGTACCATGTCAATGTATAGTTGAGATGGTCCTGAGGCATCACAGAGCTGCGGATCAATGTATTAATTTCTTTTGGAACAGGGTACGGGTTACTGGCATTGACATTTTCGTTAACGTCTTCAATGTAGAGTGTATTCTGAGGAAGTCCACAAGCACGAGCAATTGCAGGGACATCAACATAGAACCACTGAAAGGAGCTCGGATCGTTTGCTGGAACAAATATGCTAGGCTTCTCACTTCCACGAACCACTCCAACAACTTCCACAGGAGCAACCACTGGAACTTCAATCTGTCAGTTGCAACTACGATGTTATCATAATCTAATTTCATTTTCACCATCATCTATCTGCAATTCTGCATTAACCAAAATATCATGGAATAACAAGAAACAACCTCAATAACATTAGGCTGCTTAGACCAAAATCTCCACCATGAACTTCTTCCAGACTTTTGTGCAGAGGGATATGGCACACTTGCAGGTTGTTCATCATCTTGTGAAACTTTTAAAGCCTTGTTTCTCCAACTGGCTGGAACCCATCCTCTATTGACTAGAATTGCCGATGGTAACATTTTAGTTGGACTGTTAGATGAGAGAGAAGCATAACAATCATCCCATACATCAATCAGCAATCCCAAAGCACTTTAACAGACAAAGGAAACACATAGAATAAGGAAAAAGGTATGATCTGAAATCACATCCTCTGAAATGGTGGAAGATTTGTTGAGTCACCTTTACTTTTATTTCCCTTTTCTTCTTCCTTTTTTTCTTTCTGATTGTTATTTGTTGAGTCATTATCTAGATACTTCTGCATGATGCAAAAGAGCGAATTCCATCGCAAATCACAAGAGGCCAAAGAAAGAAAAATTCTAAGGGAAAAAAGAACCAAGAGAATCAATTCAATTCAAAGGAGACAACACAAGATAACTTGAAGCTCTGAAGATTCTACGAACTTTTAATATGCCACAGTAATAAGTAAGGATATATTAGGAGTCCTTTTAGCTGTAGTAAAGAATACTAGTAATGTTTGCTTTCGTATTTCTTGAAGTACTTAGTCTTGAGGTAGTAACAAAAAAGTGAGACACATAACAAGTATAATAGTGTGTTGAAACCTACAAATTCGATGCCCAATACCTAAATTTAACAGCCAGGCAAATGTAATGTACTTGCACAGATAGAGTCCAAAAGCTAACAACCTAAATTGTTTTCAGCTTCGTTTACCTCTCAGCAATGCTGGGGATTGGCACAAGAGGAGTAATGAGATAGTATCCATTCTCAGTCACCCCCGAAATGCTTCTGGAACGCGGCCCCACAAAAACTGACTTCTTGTCGTCAAAAACCCCTTTGCATACCACCCTCCTGAACTCCAAAGAATCCAACTTTTCACTAGAAAGGGCAGTGTTGTTGCACCTAATAGGTTCCAAGCCCAATCTATCCTTCCTATAATCCAGCATTTTCATCTGTACAAACACTAACAACTTTGTCAAAATAAAAATTAACCAATTCAATTAAACCCATACAAATACAAATATAACTAGCTATACATATATAGACACACACACACACATACAAATGTTTTATTTACAATAGCCCCCAAAGTGTTTGGAAAAGCTTCACCTTTTCTTCTCTTCTGTAAATCTGCCAAGTGCCAAGGCCAAAAGTGAGAGCTCCGGGAATAAAAAGCAGCAGGTTTGACCATGTTGACCCTCCCTTCTGTTCTGATCAATACGAACAAAATCATTGTGAGATTACTTCACATGAAGCTTCCCAAATGTCCCATTTTCTCTCAATCAATCACAAGTAAAATAAGCAGCTACACACACACACACATATATATATATATATACAGAGAGAGAGAGAGAGAGAGAGAGAGAGAGTGAGAACGACCTTGAGGTTGAGAAGCTGAGGTCGATGGAGGCTCTTCCGGAACAGATGATATGGCAGGAGCAGCGGAAGTGGAGAAGAAAGACAACGATGGTTCTCGTGGGACCAACTTCAAATGGATGGGTCCACCAGAGTAGAGCTTTCTCGCTAGGGTTTTGGAAATGGAAGCTGCTGCTGTTGTTGTTGCCATAGTGTTGTTGGTGGTGGTGAAGCTGACATTTGAGACCGTAGTCGTATTTCAGCACTCAAATGCGATCGGGTGATTCCTCGATGGCTGAGAAAAGAAAAAGAGAGGGGCTCAAGTGGAAAAGTATCAAGGGTTTTGGCAATTTGTTCCCGTGTTGTAGGGTGTAGAAACACTATACTGGTCACTAGCCTTATCACCTGTAAAATTTTAGACCATGCAATGGGATGAAATGATGAGTGTAAATGGGTGATAAAAAACAGAACAATGCTATTGGACCTGGGTCTGTTTCGTATTTTTTTTTTTTTTGGGGGGGGGGGGGGGGTTTGGGATTGACCTGTTCAAACCCTTTCAAACTCAAAGATGAGATTTAATATTTAATGATGTTCATACCCATATTTGATATGCGCACAAATCTATGATTATTATGATAATATATTTGTATATAAATAACTATTGTATCTTTTGACCAATTTAATCCAAATTCATGTTTGTTTACTGTGCATACAAGATCTTATACAATATAAACACGAGAACAGATCTCTCCCGTGGTGAACTCGAGTTAGTCAATTGAATGGTTAATCTTGTTGCTTGGAACAGACTGTGAGGTCCGGTGGTGGCCTGGAACGGTAATGGGTGACTTTTGTGGATCAACGGAGCGGTCCAATAAGGCTGATGGAGATTCCTGGAACAGAGAAAAATGAGTTAGGAGGGCGCCGGAGTGTTTTTCGGCGTATCCCCTCCGACGATTAAGTCAGTTCTTTGAGAGAAGGGAAGGAGAAAACACTGTATATTTCTTTGAGAAAAAGTTTTTTGTTGCATACCGTCTTACCTTTTATGAGAAGTACTTATACCTCAAAAACTCATGATTGTTGTCAGTGTGGTCAGTAGGTGATCATTAGATACGGGCAACGTGTGCACTGATTCCTATGAGGAATGTCTTCTCTCTTAACTGCTCGGGACCCCGAGCAACCAATGCTTCGTCATCGGCCTGTCGAATGTTTAATGAGCTTCTCTCGGCAAGGATGTTGCCCAGTCATAGGGACATTTATTACCTTTCACTTCCGAGCCTTCTGCATTAAATGATGTCTCATCAAGGGAATGGTGCACTAAATGCTTGCTTTCCCAAGTCGTGTGTCAGCAAGGACATCTCGGTCTTTTTGTCTCTGATCTGACACAATATGTCACGCGCCCATTCCCCATTGGTTGTGTCTTCTGCCTTCTCGTGCCTTTTGACACCAATTGTGTAAGACGAGGTTATGATGACTAACCTAGCCTAGCCTAGACTAGTGACCTGTACATCAATAGCCTCTGTAGGAGTAGAAAATGCCAACCTGGACGGGTACATCTCGGTACCGAGGGAGTGGTACATGTAGGGACCGATGTACCCCATATTCGACCGAGAGATATGTGTCGGTACGTAATATACTGGGTGTCATTGATCTCTATGAACAGTACCTCGGGAGAAGAGGGACTTGTGAACCGACGAGTACGTGTCGTGATCACAGTAACAAAAATATACTGATGCCGAGGACACGTGTCTTCATCTTGGAGTATTTGGAAATGTCCCATCAACTGCCCCTAGCCTTCGATCTCCTAACACCGAGGACACGCGTCGTAAGGAGACGAAGGGTTCTGCAATTACCCCAACTACTTCATCATTGCCTCTAGCCGCTTTCCCCTTCTTAGGAGGTCGTGCGCATTAAATGTCCCTCTTCGTGCTTCATGCCCAAATGATGGGGATGTGTACTATATAAATGAGCTTCCTCTCTCCCTCTCTCCCTCTCTCATTTTGCCATTTCGAACTTTTTTAGAGAGCCCTTGCCTGAAACCTCGCCGAAGATCCCTTTCCTTTCGTTGTCTACTGCCCAATCTTTCACCAGAGTCTCAAGGCCAGCAGACCCATCCTTGCTTCTGAACATCCTAGAGGAAGGAATCACTTCAAGTTTTCAAGAAAAACTTTCGTTTACATTCTGATGAGTCCTTGTATCTTCGCTCTCTTCGCCCTTCTGTCTCTTCTTTTCTTCTTCTCGCTGTTTTTATTTTCTTTTAATTTTTCAATAATCGAATGTGTTTCTGGTTGCCATTCTGTGAACAACCCTCGGGAAGCCTCCTCGAGGATCTTCGTGGGAAAACCCCTCCCTTCTTCCTCAATTTTCATCATTTTTTGAGATGCCCCGACGTCGCCCTGCCTCTAAGAATCCTCAGGCTAGTTCCTCGAGGCCAGGGAAGTACAAAGTGAAGGGGGACGACCAGATTAATAGGTTTAGGGTCCAGTATCGCATCCCCCCATATGTAGACATAGAGGATTATAACTCGGCTGTGCATTCCCGTACCCTCGGGGCCGAGAATGAGATGCCCTTTTATACCAAAGTCATCATAGAGGGCGGAATTAGGTTCTCTCTGCCCCCTCTACTCCTCCAGTTCCTCTCCTATTTCTACCTCTTCCCCGGGCAGTGTTGCCTCAATATCTTCAGGATAATAATGGGAGTCTTAGAGCTCAACAAGCATCTCAGGGTAAATGTTGGGTTGAACGATATCCTCTTTTGCTACTCCCTCTTGAGGGTCAAGCCTCAGCAAAACTTTTACCTCAAAGCCAGGGACCCAACCATGTACCTCGTAACTTACCTTCTTGACTCTGACAAGGGGTACAAGGATGACCTACTAATCTTCAAGGGGTCCTAGCAGAGGGGTGCCGGTCCCGAATACGATGGTCTGTTATACCCTTTGGAATGGAGAACGACAAGTACGCCGGCTTCTTCGAGTCTATTATTTCGTTCTTGAGATTTTTTAGAAATGTTCATAACTCCCTCTCCTCTTTTTTTTTTTTTTTTGTAGACGTCTCCGCTCGGGAAACAGCTCCTCCACTTAGGTCCCCGGTAAACTTTACCGACCTCGTCACTGTTTGGAGATTTGTTGGCGACGACGGGTTTCGGTCGAGCTGCTCACATTCTTCTGAACTACACTTCTGAATATAAAAAGTTCTCGCAACTTCCCTAGCTTTTCGAGCCTTCGCGGTAGTCCGAACTCTTCGATCAGACTGTGCAACAAGAGGTCGAGGAGAATTTGGAGGAAGACCGCGATTGGGCTACAGAGGCCGAAGTAGAGGGTGTTGTTGAAGTTGAGGAGTTCGGGGCCAGGGAGGCTTTTGTTCCTTCGTACGTCGAAGTGGGGACTTCGGGGAGAGATTCATGACCTAATTTCCAAATCCTGCAGTCCCTAGACAAGGAGGACGCCCTTGAGGTAGCTATGTCAAACACGCCTCGCATAGATCTGGGGTTCCTGAGGTAGAGGCAGGCCCTCATTGCCAGGAGGGGACGAGGGTCAACCAGCGGGGCCCCATCTACAGGGACCAGCGCCACCCCACCTTCAAGAGCCGTTGGTCGGGGTCAAGTGCGTGATCGAGATCCTCAGGTAGAGGAGGAGAGAAGGGTCAAACAAAGGCACGACGGCCTTGGTAGGGGATCCAGGGCCCCCTCCGCTCAACAGCAAAGCGGGAGAGGCCGTGAGTTACCTCCTCCTCCCCAACAGTAATAGCAACAATAGAGACAACAACAGCAACAAACTCCACCTCCCCCTCTACAGACGGTGGAAGCCGCAGAGTGGAACCTTCGGGCCACTAATCACATGAACTGAGTGATCAGGGTTGATGACTCCATTTTGCAGGACCCCCATGTTGCCAACGCAGTGGGTGAAACGCTGCACTTCGAGGCCGACATGGTGGCTCACAGGGGGCGATCAACAAATGCGTTGTTTCGTTCTATCATTCAGAATTCCCTGGTGGTAAGTTCATCTTCGCTTCAATCTTTTCTATTTGTGTTACTTTTTATTGACAAGCTCTTTCCTTTGCAGGCCACCCAACAGATTTTCATAATCGCTGCGCGGTATCATGTAGTTAGGATGAACCTCCAGCGGGTTCAAGAGTAGAAGGAAGAGACCGAGGGAGCCCTGGCCAGTGCCAAGGAGGATATAGCTGCCAGAGATTCCACTCTCATGAGACAGGCTGCTCAGATTGAGCAACTCCTCAAGGACGACGAATTGGCGAAGGTCAGCGCTGAAAAGCTAAGTGCTACCTTGGCCGACGCTAAGAGGAGGATTACAGAGCAATCGTAGCGGCTCTCTGCGGCAGAGGAGAGGGCTATCGGTTCAAAGGAGAGCTGTCTGGCTCTGACCCAGGAGCTGGACAGGATCAGGGCTGAGGCAGAGAACAGGAAGTCCGAAGAACAACTCCGAAAGGAGTTTGCTGACGACGTGCTACCTGCTCTTGAGGAAAATAGCAAGGAGTTTTTCAAGAAGGGGTGGGACAAGGCGCTCCGGTCTACTGGGATCCCTCCAGACTCCCGCTCTTCCAGATGCACAAATACATGCCATCGGCGGAGATGGAGCAGGTCGAGGCAGAGATTGCTGCCGAGGGTGCGACTCCAACGCCGATGCAAGTTTCGGCAGATCCGCCCGAGGCGGTAATTTTGGATTTATCTGATGAGGTTCTGCCGGACCAAGCCCCTAACCATAATATCCCTCAGACTCTCCCTGTTGCCGATTCACTCCCAGCTCTGCCTGCTCCCGAAGCTGCTCAACCCTTTTGCCCTGATTCGCCCTGCAGCGATGTATTGGAGATACCTAGGGCCAGATGAAGATTTTTTTTTTTGAATTGTACTCATTTTCTTCTTTTTGTAGCTCTTGGGAACGCAAAGCCCCTCCTTTGAAATGAAGTTTTTTTATTTGTTCTTGCATTTTCTTTCGTGCATCCTCTTCTCTTTTTTTTTTTCTTTTTAACGACCTTGATATCCCCGACACCTGGGGAGTTATTCTGCCGGTCCACCCGATTGGTTTAGCTTCATCATTGCTAGGGACCGTATGCATCCGCGGGGGCTTGCCCATCGTGAAAGTTTATTGGTACTCTTTATTTCGAGGCATGAGTCTTTGAACTCTACATCCATGGCCTTACCCTCCTAGGGGGCTTGTCCCAGTTTTTCCTTCAGGGACAGGAGTCCTTGAACTCTGTCCCCAGGGCCTTACCCTTCCAGGAGGCTTGCTCTTATTTTTCCTTCGGGGGCGGGAGTCCTTGAAC